TCTTGAGTGTTCCCAAGGTCCTGCTTATCTGGCAGCCGTGCTCTCCTGAGGGTCACTGTGCTTTGACTGCGAGGGGGAAGAGAGGCCTGAGATCACATTGCAGCACATTGATTTGAAGCAGGTGCAGCTTTGAGACTTTTTCTGCTATCTCAGCCACCTCCCACATTCCCGTCTGGATTGCAAACTTTCTTTATTTTTTCCTCCCCCTTTCCCCTCTTGTCAGGAATAATTTACAAAGCCTGTCCTTCATCTCTTTCCAAAGGTAAAGCTTGGGAAGGAAAATAGCCAAGAGATGCTGAACCTTATCAGGGTTTATCTCCCTGCACATAAGCTGTCAGCTGTCAGGGGTGGGATTTCCTGTTGGTTTCTCATAAATTCTAGAAAAGAATTTTGTTGTGATTTAACTCATTGATTCTTTTTTCTTCTAGAAGGGACAGCATTTCCCCCTTTTTAATGTAGTGTTTGTTCTCCTTTGCATCATGCAACATTGTGGAAGTGGAATGGTTATGCTGTCTGAAGTGTACCTCTTATGACAGAAGCCTAGGTACAGAGAGTATGCTCAGTGAAGCTGGACAGCCCCCAAGAGCACTGCACATTGCTCCCCACCATGGAGGAGATGTGATTCAGGTGCCTTAAACACAAAAGAGTRTCTGCCTTTTTCTCACAGTGAGATSAAAGCAGATCCCATTGCCTCTTTGCCTTGGTTCAAGAACTGGAAAACAACAGTCATGAGGATGTTTGAGAGCAAATCCACACTGCTTGCAGGAGTCTTATAGGGGAGTTGTTTGCTTCCTGGAGATGAAAACCACTGCCCTTACAAAAGGTTCTTGTGTTGCCCCCCATGTTAGACATGGTACAAATGCACATCCATCGTCACAGGGGAGCATCAGTACAGCCAGCACTCACCAACAGCACACAGTGTGAGGGACCRAGTGACTGGGCAGCTCCAAAAGCCAGCTTGCCAGGGCTCCCTCATGCATGTCAAGTAAGTCCACCTGCAGCTGCCACTGCAGTGGCCTCAAATGGCAGCTTGGTGATCAGAAAGAGCTGGCAAGACTGCAGGAGAGACCAGTGGGACACATGATGCCTGTCAGCTGCTGGCCAGATCTTGAGAGTTGTTTTTTTTTCCCTGCCTTTTATCTGGTTTTGTAAGCTACCTCGTTTAATGGTTTAATAGATCACTTAGGCAGTTTTGTYAGATGATTGTTTTAAATCCTTGGGCTTGCAGTGTAACTCCCTGAAGGGTTGCTGTCTTAGGGCTGGAGCAGGGAGCTGTGAGACTGAGCCGTATTTGAGAAGTGGCACACAGCAATGTCTGGGAGAGGCCAGACTGCCTAGATGAAGTGTTTCTCCTGCTCTTGTGCAGGTAGGGCACAGGAACTTCCCATGGCTCTTGTAAAGAAGTGTTGCAGTGATAATTCTGGACAGATTTCTCACAGTGCAAGAGACTGGAATGTCCAGAGCTGAAATTGCCTTGTTAAAAATTACATTGGCAGTGTGTTTGCTTTTTGTATTTAGGGATCCAGTGGTAGTGAGTTTATCACAGGCATTACCCTGTAATAAACAGTAAAATGGAGAATTGTCTCAGTATAAGGAGGGAAAGGCTCAGATTTCTTGCCAGCCATGTCAGATATGTCAGGGAGATTGTGTATGTTTATGAAGTGCATTGCATTGGGAGATTTCAGTCTTTAATGTGGGTGTCCTTTCTTTCCACCATGTGGTAAAAAGGTGGGGAAAAAGCGGCTGCTTAGTAAAATAAGAAGTGAGAGACCAGTGGGTTGCAATAATCCAAAGTGAGCTAAAAATCCATGACAGAGAACAATTTTCACAAGTTACACAGAGCAACTAAATCCAAGCCCACACCTCTTGCCCTGTTGCTCAGGCTTCCACAGAAGAATATGGTCAGTTGTTAGACCTCCGGTAACTTTCAGTGTATTTATGAAATGAGGAACTGCTAAACATTAGCTGTGTTAGCTTCTCCCTAGGAAGTTGCAGATTCTAGAAAGCATAACAGAAAATAGCTTGGTGGCAAAGAACAGAGTAGGCTAAAGATCAAAACAAATGTCCTAGCCCCTGGCGTTTCCCGTCCTGCAGCTAGTTTTGTTGTGTAAGTGGGCTGGACACACACCGCAGCCACAATTTTAGCAGAAATCTTCATGGTGCAGTCTCAGTGGGGATTTTGACTGTATCAGTGCAAGCTGTCCTGTAGTGCTGCAAATTGGAAGGCAGACTTTGCTGACCTGAGCAACTGGCTCAGACTTCCAGTAGGTGCTTCAGAAATGCAGTGTTGTAAAATGAATGATTAGTGTATCATTCCTGTCTTCAGTCCAGAGCTTCTTAAAACAAGCTGTTTGATTTCTTACAATTAAGAAGTAWAATTTGCTTCTGAAGCTATGCATGTCCCTCCTTTTCCTCTGCCCAGCCTTYTTTCTTCAATAGCATTCAAAGCCTAGGAATAGCTATTCCCTGTTTGATTATATCTTTGGTGAACAGCTGGAAGGTAGTGGTGTTGCTGTTTAGTGATTCCAAAATGTGAGAAGCAGAGAAAATGCTTCATACCAATTAGCTAACTGCAGTGGCAGCAGGGCTGTGGCTGCACAATAGTCCTATTTCAGGGAAGGGCTTCAGTTAAGAAGTCAGCTTGTGGTTTATTTCATCTCAGAATTGAAGCAATCTTTTGCCCTTCTCACTGCTAGATATTGAGTTTACAGTGTTTTAAGGTCAAATACATGAATTGGTCTTGTCATGAGCAAGAATGATAGCTGTTGCTGGCATGCAGGTGGGTCATATGGCCAGCCTTGTGTGTTCTCCTTTGCCCCTGTGCGTGTGACAATGAAAACTGGATGTTATTTTCCAAAAATGTTATCATCATGTTTCAGACCAGATCCAGTTGTCTGACCACAGGCAAAGAAACCATTTGGAGCCCAAAGACAATCAAAAAATTAATCACGTCTAACAGAATGCTAATATATATCCCTTTCACCCACCACATTCCTTCAGCCACAACACCTTCCTGCCCATCTCAGCACCTTTCCCACCTGCACCCTGCATGTACTGGCTGCTGTAATGAGGATTACAAAGAGGATGAAGGCTCTGGAGACCTGTCAGGTCCTTCACTTTTGGTGGGCTACAAGGTGCCCACTTACTTATCAGTCTCCTCATGGTCCTGGAAAAGCACCAGTTAGGTGGGTTTGTTTCCCAGGTAGCTAAAAAGATCTCACTAGGAGGACCTGGCAACTCCTTGGAAACCTTAAGAGGTAGCAGCACAGTTGAACTAGTTGAGGTGTGATTGGGTTTGAATAATTGAGTACTGAGTTTCTGGCAGTTGAAGTATTAAGAGAGAACTGATGTTGRAAATCCATATTCACATGAGAGAACAGAAACCTTYTGATGATCATTATTCCCCCTCTTCTTGTCTTAGGTTGTATTTGGCTCATTCTGGCCTGCATAAATAGAATAAATGTCCCACAGCTGGATGTCAAAATCTCGTGACAATGCTGTACATGAGGAGTATGAAATTGTGCCCTTCCATATGTTGTTTCTGACTCAAGAAGGTTGACAGTTGCTAAATGAGTTTATATGAGCCAGGTCTATTGCAAAATCTTGTGTTGTCMTTCAGATAGATAGTGCTGCACAAATGAGGATCTGTCAAAACTAAAACCAAGTGTGGAAATTACCCAGTAAAAATGTTTCATATACCAGGATGTATCTCAAGGGATACCTTTATGCTGTGTCGAGGGAAAACCAGTGGCCCTCATAGGACTACACCAAATAGTGTAAGAAAGCTGAATAAAGCAGTTCTTCTGTGTATAGACAGGTCATTGCTAATCACCCCGATGGTGAAGATTAGGGAATTCTGCTTGGCTTGTTAACACACTGAAATAAGCTGTGTAACTGCTGTCTGGTGTGGCTCTTCTAAAGTTTCATGTCAATGGCTTAAGGGCAGGAGAGAATATTTCACATTGTATAATTCACTATATATAAAACTGCTCATTAACTCTAAAAAAGTGCTTCCTTGGGCAAAATCTAAGAGAAAGGTCCAAGATGCCTGTTTTTCTCTTGGGCTCCTTTAGTGTATTCTCAGTCATTATTTGGTCAAAGTGTTTTGATTTGATTTTCYTGGTATTTGGGATAATATCTTGTAAATCCAGAGATAACTGGGAAAAGAGCTGACTATGTTAAAGGATTCTCATCAGGGGAGTAAAACTAAACAAGGAAATTAGAAAAGGGTGCATATTAAGTTCTTCTGCAGTGAAATACCACTTTGTAAGTTTGAAGATACACATAGTAAGTGCTCTCAGAACAAACTGGTAACARTAGTTTGACTTGAGAGATCCTAAGAGAAGAAAGACCCTAAGAAAAAATAAGACCCTGAGAAAGAGAAGGAAGACYCTAAGAGAGTGACTCATCCAGTGTAGCTTTAAACATATGATGTAGCCACTACATCATAAGTTATTCTTACAACTTCCCTGCATAGTCACCACAGACACAAGCTTTTTCCAGACATTAACACATCGGCTTGCCTGAGTATATGTCTAAAGTGGAGAAGAAATGTGTCCAAGTACCAGTTCCCCTCCATGAACAGGAGGGGAGTGCTGGGTGATTGTTCAAGTGTCTGTGAGTAGCAAAATGAAACCTAATCTATGGGTCAGTTTCTGGTGTTTATTTCTTCTTTCCAGGCTAGGCACTTTCTTATAATCTGGGGACTTCAGAGAGCTGCAATCTTTTCAGAATAATTCTCATGAGGAAATAATGTGTACCAGCCTTTGGGGTGAGGGCCATCTCTTTGTTTTGTGTAGATGCAGCCCCAGGCACAGCAGGGTCCTGCCYTAGGATGGAGCTCCTGTACACTACCACAGATAATAATAGCAGACTTAATTAGAACTTTGATCAGTCTCTCTTCCTTCCAATTTGCTGTGTTTTTAGTCCCTGTGATGTCTAAATGAGGTTTGATAACAATTCTCTGTCTCTCATTTCCCCTCCCCGCCCCTGTCCCACAGGAGCACATTTACAAGCTGATGAAGAGTGACAGCTATGCGCGCTTTCTGCGTTCRAATGCTTACCAAGACTTACTGCTGGCCAAGAAGAAGGTATCTGTTGGAAAGGACATGCTTGCATCTCTTAGCACCTCTTGATTCTCGCCTGCTGCTTGCTGCTAGCATGAAAGTGAAAATATTGTTTCCTTTTTCTTTGCTTTAAGAAAGGAATGAGCACTTTTTGTCTTCTTCACTGGGGGCACAGGGTAYGGCATCCATGTGCACAGCCTCAGCATGTGTTTTGGGGAAAACATGGTGATCCAAGGTAAAAGTAATGCAGAAAGGTGTTTGTCTTGCACAGTTGCCTCCCAGACTCGGTGTAGGCACTGCAAATTGTATTGCCTCTTTCTCTTGGAAAAGACGGTGTGTGATATGAGAAACAGAACCCATCAATCTATTCATTAGTAGTGCAAAACTCACCTATTAAGGATTTTGTCTCCCTAGTCTCACCATGTGATATTCCCTTTGGATGCCTTACCTATAGATCCCCCTGCACCAATTCCCTTACTCCTTTTTCTTGCTTTTGCTCCTCCAGAGCTGCTTCCTTTTTCTCAGAGACAGGAAATAATTGCAATGTATGTAGTAATCAAGAATTCCAACCACACTGTCTCACAGGGAATCTGGGTTTGTGCTCTTCTTAGCCTTTTTGCTATCTGCATGAGTTCTGCCAGCACCATGATTCTGTCAGGAGCCTCCAGATCAGGGTAGCAAAGGAGTGGTTACATAGAGTTACAGCTCCTGCCCCCAAGTCCCTTCTTCCTAAGCAGTCTAGGAGATAAACTACTGATCTCTGCATTTGTGGCTGTGCTCAAATGCTTCCTGCAACTCCTGACTAATTCCCACGGCTCTGTGTGTGTTTCTGTGTGCATGTGCATGCCATGTACATGCATGTATGTCCCACTTACATTTGGCTCCCAGGACCGTATATAAACTGACTCCTTACTCCTGCAGCCTGAGCATGTGGTTTCCCATCACCATCTTCCCTGCTGTTTTTCTGCTGCATTCTCTGTGTGCTGCCAAATTACATTGCATCGGCACAATACAATGAAATCCCAGTGGTATTTTTGTCCTGATTGTCATTGTGTGCCCTAAAAGCATGCATATGGTGACAAAAGGAGACAAGCCCCTCTCTCTGCTGTGCCTGAGACTACTTGCAGGTGGATTAGGGGAAGATAATGGAGGGCAGCAGTCAGCCTTCCGTTTCAAAATGTCTGGTCTGTGACAGCATAAACCAGTGCTGCTTACATTTAGAAGGGTGAGACCCGACTTAGTTCAAAGCCTGTGGGGAGTGAAGGAGGTGTGAGGCAAAGTCTTCTGGTGGTATAAACCATAAAAGCCTCTGCTGTTCTTCCTACCCCCAGCAGCTTATGGTCCCCCCCCACCCTGCAGTCTCCATTGAACACGTGAGGCTTCATCAGCTTGAAAGCCAGGAGAGCTTTCTCCTCCCAGCCAACCCATTCAAACCAAAGGTTTGATTTTTTGCAATCCTTGTTTGCTGTCAGGTCAAGCCCTGGATGTGTCAGCATGACATCCTCATCCGCCCGCAGACTGCCGCAGGAGCAGGTTTTGGTGTCGTGTTAACGCAGCCGTGGAAGTAAGAATCAAATWTCTTTTAGAAAGAGCTGTGGGTGCACGAGTAAACATATGAAGGCACAAAAAAGGCAGGAGTAGATCTGTGCAGATGTGCTCTTCATCCGCTTCGCATTATACAGGAGGGGAGTTGGTGTTACTCCAGAGTCTGTGAAGCTCTTTGCATTGTGTTGGGCAAGTGAATGTTTGGAAACAGTGCAGGTAGAGAGACGCTGACAGAAAGAGCATAACATTTCTTTATGCTGAGCTACACGGTCTTTAGGACCTTTGGTGCAGCTTTGAGAGACAACTTTAAAATTCCTCTAAATAGCTGGAAAGCAAGGAAGGAAAAGAGGAACCCAGTGGCAAATCAGAGCCTGCATGGAGGGAAGATTTGGTTTAGAGCCTGCAGACAAAGTCCTGGATTCACTGATGTGAACAGAAATTCACTGCAGTTCTTCAAGTTGTGATGAGTGCATCTCTCTGAGGCATGTCTTCCCCCAAAGTCACTATCCTCACATGGCTTGTGTACCACACTGATATGACATAGCTTACTTTCATTACTGAAAATAAGTTCTGTCAGAAGCACAGCATGATGGACATGGGGTAAAAGAATTGATTACACTAAGCAAATGAACTGTGGCTTCAGATTGCCACATTAGTATTTTGTGGATAAGTTTATATTTTTGGGATCTTTTTGCCCTCCAGCACTGGGTTATGGCAAACTGAGAGGACAGGAAAAAGGGAAAGATAGACTGTGTGGCTAGAGCACAGAATTGGGAACCATAAAATCCGTATACTTCCCCTGGTTTCCCCACTTAATTTCTTGTGTGAGCTTGGGAAAAACAAAGTTCAATTTTGCCTGCCCTATATCCTCCCCTTTGTCAAATGGCAATAATAATAGTGACCTGCTTAGCAGAGAGATGCCAAAGCTTGATTAGGGCTTCAAAACATGCTTGACATTTTTGGTATTTGTAAAGTAATAGAAGTTTGAAGAGTTGAGAGGTTTCTTCCACACCATACAATAACCACAAATGTGAGAGCTTTCCCTCCCTGCTCTGGGAGTGTAGTTATGGAGGGGAAGGAGGGAGAAGAAATTATGGGTCGGGATTGAGCTACAATGACAGAATTATGAGGGGAACATATTGTTCACACTGCTAACTGATGCAAGACAGCAGACATAGGCTGTGTACAGACCAGACATACATACTTTGTTAATCCATTTTAGATGTTTTTTTCCTCCATTCTTCCCAGTGTCATTATTGCAAATAACCACAGTATAACTGGCCTCAATCCTACAGATTCATGGTGCTCAGCAGGGAACATGAGGCTGGCCTCCAGCAAGGGTGTGATTGGAAGCAGTGAGCTGCAGAGGGTAAAAACTGGGTGTAGCCTTCTGCCTTGAACAGAAGTCCTCCTCCCTGCCAGGCTGGAGAAGAGGAAGGAGAGCACAGCCCTGTCCTCAGGAGGAATGGCCATATGCTCAGCCCAGCTTGAGCTCTGTGCCTCCATTCCCAGTCCCCCCTCATCAGCAGGTAGAAATAATGGATCTGTTGAAAGCGTTTGGCTCAGCAGTGAAGGGCTGGATGTGCTGAGATCCCTGAGCGACTCACTGCATTTTATTTGTGTATCTACGCAACATGCCCTGCTGGTGCTGCACAAAGTCAAGCACTGACCTGCTCCTGTTTCTGCTGATATGCACCTTGCTGCAGGGTACCTTAGAGCAGGTAATCACTGCTGCGCTGCCCTCCAGCCCTTCTCCATGGCAGCCAAAACGGTGGCTGGATGTCCTTAGACAGTAGTGATTCACCCRTCAGGACAAGCGCTGTGACAAACCTCAGTCTAGGCAAGGAGGCATTTTGGCAGCAGAGCAGGAGTTTATTCCCTGGGGAAAGAGCAGTGTAGATTAGTTAGTGCACCATGGAAGGGGATGTGAGTGCACAGGAACTTTCGTTAATGGTAAAGGAGCAGCCAGACACGTGCTCTGCTAGTTATTTTTGCAGAGAAGGGAGAGAAAGGAACAGAAAAGACCTCGAGGTGCTTTCCCTTACTCACTGTAAAGGTGAAACAATGACATTGGTTGGCATCTCTGCATTAGCTGAAGCGGCAGCTGAACTGTCACAGTGCTGGTGTTCATGTCGTGGTGTGGGGTGGCTTCCTGCCATCCAGCCCTGCCTGCAGGCAGGGAAGCATCCTGGAAAGGCAGCCACAGCTGTAACGCAGACAGGCTGAGAAGCCATGGGAGTGAGCCCTGCGGCATTGAGGGAAGAGCAGGTTTGTATTTGCATGGTTTAGAGCATTGTTTTCTTCTCTAGCTGATTCAGAGAAGTGTGAATTCACCATGGTCCTACTCAAATGAACACACTCAAATGAACAATATATGCAAAGTACTCCAGCCACTTGGTAGCACTGTACATGCCCTTTGCTTTCACACTTTGGACAAGTAGCCATGACTACCTGAGAAGCCCAGGACCTGCTCTTGGCCTTTCCTGCACCCAGGGTCAGGGACCTTATGTCCTTTAATTTTATCTGATGCCATTTGCACTGGAACATGTTATTTTTCACCAAGTTAAAGTTCAAAATAAACCTCTCTTCACCCCCCAACATCTTATATCAAAAGGATCAATAGCCAACAAATCCAGGGAAGGAAGGAGGGAGAGAATTTTGAAGACCTTAAGTTCAGAAGGCCAAGTTTCTGTATGTATTTCCCTACCTCTTTTCAGATCCCTGGCAAAAAGTTTCAGCAAGGAGCTTCATGCCATGAGGAATAGGTTCCATTTTCAGCACACATCTTGAAACACTGCATTTATCCAGACCCCCTGGGCCAACTGTTCTGTATTGTCCAGGAAGGTTCCTATTTCASATTATGGCCCTGTCTCCATCCTATCAGGGCACACATGGCCTTCATTCAGTGACAGGACTTCTCTTCAATGTTGTAAAGATGCTGAATAATTTTCTCATAATCGTATTTAATAGTCGGTATTAGCTGGTTTTCTTAAGTTTTCTTTGACTTAATCCCCATGCCAGCAGAATCTACACAAAGGAACTTAAAGTTTGGATGGCTGGGCAAATGGTTAATCATGGAAAAAAAGGAAAATTCAGGGAAGGCCAGTCAATTAATGAATGGTTTCAATGTGGTAGGGTCTATTTTTTCTGCATTTGCTTGGGCTGACAGGTTTTCATCTGCAGCAGGGATGCTTGTTTCATATTTTATCCAAATTTGTCCTTTGCCAAGAGCTGGTGGAGCCTGTTGGTGTATTTACTGGCAAATGTTGCATTTTTTGCACCTGGGAGGACTACATGGCCTGGCGTGCACATGTGCTTCTCTGCCTTTGTCCCTTTGCACACACAGTGCACGTTTGTGCAAACACTGCTCCGGTGCTGCAGCAGGTAGTGGCTCCTGGGTCCACACCCCAGGTCTGTTCCCAGGACTGGGAAAGGTGTGTGACTCGGGGTTTTTTTGGGTTTGGGGTTTTTTTTGGTTT